GATCGGTTATGAGACCAATGGAGCCCGGTGTCAGGCTGTATGTGGCGACGGGAAGAAAATACCTGCTTATAGCCAGTTAATTTACTATAATGATTCGGAACATCAACCAATCATCTTTCAGGATGGAATAATAATCATATCACTTCTCAGATAAGACACTGGAAAATTTCGTGCAAGTGCCTGAAATGTTTCCTAGAAAGTGAACTTACCTCATTCTTATCCCTAAGTAAGACATCCACAACATGAACTTCAAATCTTTCACTAAAGTTGACAAAGATTCGGGCATAACAGGGACTCGGAGTAAGAAGAACATCGCCCGGATCTAACAAACAACATGCCAAAACTTCCATGGCTGCTACTCCACCATTAACTACCAACACCTGAAAATGGATATTTTTTATTGGGTTGTAATCTTATGTTAAAGAAAGTGTAAAATGCAGTACGACCATTCTAAATTTGTGCGATTAAACACTACCTATTAACTCACATTTTCTGGGCAAACTGGTGAACTGGGAGCAAAATGGCGAGTAAGGCAAGATGCAATTGCTTCACGAAATTCTGGAACGCCCCACATTGGGAAATAATGTTGTTCCTTGGAATCAAATTCAAATAGGTGCGGTTCATTGACACGTTTCAATATTATATCTTCACAAAGTGCAGAGACAGATGTTCCAAGGTTAACATACCCCTGCACAGAAGAGTACATGTTAAAAACCCACAGTGCAGCTGAATCAATATTTCAGTTTTCTAAACCTTTTATGATTTCTGGATCAGTAAAATTGCATTGTTTCCTTTAAGAATAAAATCCTGCATGTCTCAAATTGTAAAATACATTATGAGCAGTTTAAACATGTTTATAATAATGACTTATCATCATCATCATCAGGGATTAGGCATTAATGCATGTTCCTGCTTTAATCTTTCCATCTTTTTCGTGATCAACCTCAATCTCTTTTCCCGTGCTAGGTTTGTAACTAAACGCAGTTTTAGGAAGTGTTTCTTCAGGCATTCGTTCCATTTTCTTCTATATTCTCCAATTTTGTCGATTAAATTAAAAATATTAAGTTCTTTCCTAATGTCTTCATTTCTTATTCTATCTAATCTAGTACATACTTTAATTGATCTTAAGTATTGCATTTCTGCCCCTTGGATTCTGCTCGTATCTCTTTTTCCTACTGTCGATGTTTCTGATCCATAGAGCAGTGTGGGAATCACCATCACTTTATAAAACTTAAGTTGTGTGTCCTTCCATGTTTTTCCCTTATGTGGGACTTAATTTGAAGAGAGATCAATTAACAAACATTTAGAATGTATTAAAACTTTTGAACAATAATACACGTAAAAATGTAATTTGTCTACTATATGAGACCTGGGACTTGTAACACCACTTGTTTTCCCCATGTCTGAGGAATGCAAAAACCAATCTCAAAGCTCCATATTCTCTTTTTCACTATTCACCATTAAATGCCACAAAACAACGAAAGAGAACAAATAACAATGTTCAACGCCGAGTATTTTGTCATCAAAAGCAAACTGAAAAAACAAAAGAATTTGCTACTTGTAAAATGGTATTTTTTTTTGATGTGGGTAAACACATATAACTCTTACTACAATTTCTGGACTAGCAGCAGACTACAGAAAACCAGTTAAGACATACTGCTGTATTACAAAAGATTCATTTTCAAATATGCAGTGGCTTTCTAGGCATATCCGTCAATTCTAGTTCAAGCCACGTAGTCTTATAAGTGGTAAAATAATGACAGAGATAATACTTTCCTCCAGAAATGTTGGTAACCACCTAAAAGACCGCAAGGTGCCACAATCCGAGAGAACATAACACTGCCGTGAGAAACTTAAATCTAAGACGTTTTAGGCGTGCACTATAGTTTATAAAATACAAATGGTTTACTGATTTTTATTACTTTATTTTTAAAATTTTACAACTGAACCTTCCTTAACACTGCTTTATTGTCAACATGTATGACATATACAAACATTTTATTTGCAATTTACCTCTTTATTAGTATTTTCATCAAATGGATCATGCATGCACAACATAGTATAATGATCTAAGAAGTCTCTTTTATCCACCATTTGTTGGGCTCGTTTTGAAAGTCTGCAAGTCATCTTATCACAAAACCTTGACACTTCACACAGTAAATAATCCAAACCGAAAACAAACATTCAAAATTAATACAAATCACAACAAATACATATGCTGATAATATAAACTAACATACAAAAAAAATGTTAGCATATCTATACAACATGGTAATCATATTCTGATGAATTTTGGCATAGTTTTACAATTTATTGACAAAAATATTAGCAAGTAGGATTGAGGTTTTCACAGCACGAGTCTGAAGATGGTTGTCTTCTTTGTTGTTGCCCCATGTAGTCTGATAAAGGTTTATCAACATTTCAGAGGGCCTTGCTGCCTCCAGAGCAATGATGGAGGCAATACTCTGAAGATAGAGGCAGCAAAAACCTCTGAACATCAGTAAACTTCTACCAGACTACATGACACAACATCCCAGAAGACAGCCATCTTCAAAAATATTAGCATTAGTAAAGCAAAATACAAAAATAATTTTTCTTATTTCTCCATAAAAATAAAATGTTGTGACAGAGTAGTACTGTAAGTTAGTTTAATTTAATATTAGTGTACTTGATGACAGATTTCAGGAAACATTGCCTACCTCTTAAGGATACTGGTTTCTAATAAGTAGTTAGTTAACATATCCTTTACTGTTTCCAACCCAATGTCTATAATCTCATGTTATAATTTGCACTGCTTTGATCATAAAATGTGATTTATTTATCAATACCTGGGTTAATTATTTGTTTATAAAAGAGCTCGGGACTATGATGCAAATAGTGTTGTAGATTAACAAAATAAACAACAGCTTCATATTTTGGAAAATAATCTCAATCCCAGTTTGCCTTGCGTTTTCTTTGGTTAAAGCATATGCCACCACATTAGTGAATAAACTGCTATAAATGAATTTTTTTAATAAGGATGGGTTGGCTTAGCGTTTTTTTAGCAGACTTGCTAATACATGAATGTGCAGCTCATTCCATAATTAGCGAAAATAAATTGGTATGTCACAGTATGGAGGATATGCCTATCATTTGAAATTCTTCCTTGGTTCTTCTTGGGGCAATACAGTGGGCAGTATTAGTGTTGTAACTATGCTTACTGAACAAGGAAAAAAAGTACGTATGTATATATACATTTTGTCACTGCTATGAAATCAGCAAAAAGTAAAAAATCGTATAGGCATTGATTTTTATATACTATATATGATAAAGTTCAAGCCGTCAGACGAAGGAGACAATATGTAGTAGGTCTCAGTCACATGAACTATTAACAACATAAATAGACCTAACATAACCTCAAAGTGCGAACCTCAAATACTGATGTCGGCAACATGTGTACTGTGCTGCGACCTGTGAGCGATTTACAAATAAAAACAACGATGACGTGACAGTAAGCCAGTAGGTAAGAAGGTTAACTACTCTTCAACTTTCCAAATTCCTCCTATCAAATATTTAAATGATTTGTTTGTGTGAAGACAACATTCAATACTACAATATAACCTGCATATCAACATGCTTACGTGAAGTGTGATTAGTGCTCTTACGAGGTCTACAAGTAAGTAACCAATGTAAAATCCTAACCCAATGGTTCATCACCGAATTAACCAAAGCCCTCCACCGGACCCTGTCCTGGGCCAACAAAATCCAGTCTCCTTCAAATCCTATCTCCCATGGGTCCTACCCTCTTGCCCCATCCATGCGCGCTACATGCCCAGCCTATCTAATCTCAATCTTCTCGACTTAATCACCCTTACAATAATGGTGGAGGAGCATACATTTTTTAAGCTCATAATTATGCATTTTTCTCCATACCCCATCATCTTCTCTCCTAGCCCTCCTCAACACCCTGTTCTCAAACACCTGCAATCCGTGTTCCTCCCTCTGAGCGAGAGACCATATTTCACACCCATACAAAACAACAAGAAAAATTATTGTTTTATATATGTTAATCTTCAGGATCTTAGAAATCAGAAGGGAAGACAAAATATCTTGAAGTGAGAAGTAGTGAGCATTTCTGGAATTTAGTATCCTCATGAGTATCTGTCTACTAGCCTCTAGTAAAACTTCTGCGTTCCTCTTTATTGTATTTATATCGTCCCCCAATAAATTAACATCATCAGCATATGCCAATAGCTGATGTGTCCCATTCAATTGCAAACCCTCCTGCCTGTCTTGGACTTTCCTGATGGCATATTGTAACACAAAGTTACAAAACAATGGAGACAAAGTTTCTTCCTGTTTCAGACCATTCTTGGTGGAAAATGAGTCAGATAAATATTAACTTATACAAATTTTGCTACAGGTTTCATTTAAGCACATTTTTATGAGACTCACTAGCTTCTTTGGTGTAGCAAATTCAATGATAATATTATATAACATTTAGTCATAGGCTTTTTTGAAATCTATAAATAATTGATGTACGGTCCCACCGAACTCCCATTTTTTCTCTAGTATCTGACGAATGCAAAAGATCTGATCAATCGTTGATCTGTTTCGTCTGAACCCACACTGATGATCCCCAATAATTTCATTCGCATATGGAATTAATCTTGCGTAAAGAATGTTTGATAGAATTTTGAATGAGGTTGATAGCAGAGAAATTCCTCGGTAATTACACACTTATGGATCCTGATATTCAACCCTTTGCCACCTGCTTTAATTAATTCGGCCGGAATCTGATCAATTCCTGGAGATTTATAACTTTTCAACTTCCCAATGGCTAGTTCCACTTCATCTAAACTAGGTTCTGGCACCAACAGTTCAGCTGTATGCATTTTAATCTGTCTAATATCACCAGTCTCATGAACATTTAAGAGCTCGCTAAAGAAATTTTTCCACCTATTCACAATTTTTATTGGATCTGCAAGCAAATTGCCATTATCATCCTTTACTAAAAGCTAGGATACAAAACACAATATAACATAAAGTGTTTCCTATCTGCACTATAAATGTGCTGTAAAAGAATCTAGGAAGAAGGAAAAACCCCTAAAGTTTTGAAGTTTGACCAGGAAATCAGAAATATCTTAAATAAATCTTGCAGGATTTGAGGTTATGACAGCAATAAGTATCATCACACAGGCACTTACTGCTTCCACCTTAAGGGCAATACGTAAACCATGCACGAGGAATCAGTTTGTGCAATAGTAACCAAGCAGCCGAGGTAGAACCTCGGCCAGATGAGTGGCAAAGTAGGTGTGCGTCAGACACAGTCAAGGAAGCCAGTAACCAGCAGAGGGCGCTCCACAGCTTAGCCAGAAACAGCGTGAAAAGTTATTTAAATCGTGTCTCCAAAATCTCATGATATTTGTTCCAACTTGCTTTCAATTTTTTTTTGGTTGGTTGGTTGGAGGGTTGAAGCAAGCACATGCCCTTGGGGCCCTGAAAAGGGCCGATTTCAATGGTCAGGCCCAGCTGGGACAGGCGGAGCTCTCTGTGATGCTTCCGGAGCCATCAGAGAGAGTGTATGAGGGCCTACCATGACCGGCTCAGACGAAGTCCATCCTCCCTGTTGAAGTTGTTGGGATGAAATTCAATTTCGATGGCCTCCCTGATGATACGATCTATGTATCAGGATTTTGTTAAAAGGACAGAGGTATCCTAAATCTGGATTCGGTGGCTCAGGTTGAAGCAGTATTTGGCCAAGGCGAATTTCTCAGGCTGTTCCGGAAGTGGCGCTGGTGTAGATAAATGTTTATTTATATTTTTGAGTACAACGACTCTTGAACTGAACCGAGGCAAAATAAATATTATTATTAAATTATAATTTGAAATTCACCGAGATTGATCGAAATTGGTGGTGATTTGTTCCTTCGAGACCCACTTAAAAATACGACGTATGCATTTTGGTTTTGTTACTAACGTCATGACCGTTACAACCCATCAAGTTTCATGTACTTTTTATTGTTTTCAGTACTTCGCAGAAAAAAATATCCGCTTACAATACATGCCTTTTGTTGTATAATTTACAGATAAATTATAGTGACACTTTTCAAAACTACAAGACATAATTTCATATAGTCCTCAAATGCAATCACGTCAAAGTTGGAACTTTATATAACATCAACCACACGTGTTGAAATATAGATGCATAGACGCTATTGTCCTGTATCGAAATAATTACTTTTAAACATTTCCTGAAAAGTACACATATGAGACACGAAAGAAGTTAGTTTATTTAACATTTAAAGTGGGGTATGAATAATATATCTGCTTTACATAACATTTTCCAGTGCATGTGGAAATAATCCTATTGTATAAATACTGAAACACGACTGTACATTCACATGTGTATTACTTTGTGTTAGACTACGTCATCAGTATCGATATAAATATTCCCGTGTGTTGAAGTGCCGTGTACGCAGGTCATGTAATGACCTGGGTAACTCTTCCTACATTGAGAAAACAATGGATGTTCTCAATAACGAGATCTTCAATTTCTACCAAGATGCAATGAAACTCTGAATTACGATGCATTTTTTATCTTTAGATAAATATCAAATTATCTTTTCTAGCAGATGATAAGCTGTTATGTCGAATTTCTTAAAAATAATTCTTACGTAAATTATAAGAATTTGTAAGATGATATAGTTGAGTCATATTGTGAAATTTAATTAATTATTCGGTTTTTGTCAGTTTAATCACAATTCATATTTAAAATTTACAATTAAGATAATTAAAATATCATTTTATGTTCCTCATCGAACAATCGATTTACAATTGGAACATCTTTTTACAACATGTTTCGGTTTCTATATAAACCATCTTCAGGTGTAAAATTTAAAATTGTAATTAGGTTTTAAGTTTATAATTTTAACTTTTACACCTGAAGATGGTTTATATAGAAACCGAAACATGTTGTAAAAAGATGTTCCAATTGTAAATCGATTGTTCGATGAGGAACATAAAATGATATTTTAATTATCTTAATTGTAAATTTTAAATATGAATTGTGTTTAGACGGACAAAAACCGAATAATTATAAGAATTTGATAAGAATAATCAATATATATATATATATAGCAGTAATCCATTTATAGCACTATATTGTTCAGTGGTTTTACCTGAAATAAATATTTTAAAACAAAACCTTAAATCTAATACCACATTTTAACACGTTGCTTAGACTGTACACATTCTGTATCGTATTACATGCGTAATTTTAAAAATTTAAAGTTTTCAAAAAATGCTTATTCTCTACAATATTCAAATGGAATTCCATTGAATCTTTACTACACATGTACGTTATGACTTCAGTAACTAAAGTTCTTTAATTAGTACTTGTTTAAATCCATAGCGTAGGTTACATTGAAAATTTTATAATTATAATCAACTAGTCAAGAAATTCCACAAGGGCTGTTGCTATGTTCAATTGACACTATCTTGAATAAAGTTTTTTTAATTGCCTTTCAGTTCCTCATATTTACAGGTATTTCGCAACGGAATATTATCTTTAGTCGTACTAAAATCGACTGAATTCATTGGATTATCTCAAAATACTGCAACAAATCCCTAGGAATCCCTTTTTAAACCCACTAGAATCCTTGTTAGAAATTCTGAAAGTACCGGAGAGAAAATCTGTTAATTACCATCAAAATGCATAATATTATGACGCCCGGCCATTGTATGTCAACCCTGATTTATTTACAATAAATCAGTTTACAGAGTCTCCACTTACAGGCAGCTCTCCAAATACAGTTTCTGGGTCTCTACCTGTATATCTGACAAAAACACACTCTTCAGTTCACACGCACTGTCCGCCGCGCAGATCTGGTCCACGAACCCAGTACTCCTCACACGCAGAAGATCCTCACTCTCCGCTCAGCGCCACACCAGACAGCTCGAAGGCTATACACAGTCTTCGCACAATACGCACTCTTCAACTAGAGACCCCACACAAGACTCGCGCCACTACTTCGCCATAATCTGTCCATTATCCATTAACTAACTAACCAACCAAAAGACTAACTCAGGGCGGAGACCTACGCATGCGCAAGACATCGTCCCTTGCCAGGAAATGGAAATGGTAAACAGCGCCTTAAAACTGAAACGGGAATTTTCTTAATCTAACGGGGGTTTTGTCGTGGCAGGAGCCTCAATTATAAAAACTAGGGTCTGTTGCTGCTGATGAGAGGTTATTCCGTTAGGCAAAATTTCCTTTGTTCAAAGGATTTTGGTTATTTGGTTCTCTGGGGTTTGAACCCAGAGAGAGTGGGGCCGCTTCCACTGAAGGTCTCTGCGATTTGGGGGGGGCGGGAAATCACTTCACCTGAAAGCCTCCGTGATTTTTGCCTAGCGGGCTGTGCCCTCCTTGAATTATATTCCGGAATTTGCCTTACAACTGAGGAAAAGCACGGAAAACCTCAGTCAGTGTAGCCGAGTGGTCTAACCACTCGTTGTGCCGACTTGGCCGTCTTTTTGGGACAGCCTCGGCTGGCCTGTAAAGCATCAATCCCCCTCGGTTGCCATCGTTCGGCACGAGTGTCTCCCGAGTTGCCGGACTAAGGGGTTCCCCACACCAGCTAACCTTGAGTCAAACCTCTCAGTCAGTGCTCTGGTGTGGTCGGCAAAGAAAGGGACCCCCAGATCCTCATGTATTTGCCTGTTACTAACGTACCAGGGCGCGTTAGTAACAATGCGGAGACACTTGCAGCTTCCGGACGTGGCTGCGGGCAGCTGACCTCCAGACCGGGCATGCGTAATCCATTATGGGACGGATGAGCTGCTTATAGAGCAGCACACCGTTCCTGATGGACAGGCCACTTCTCCTATTGAGGAGCCGTGGTTGGGCAGCCCGACCCGTAGATAAAACACGAGTTTCTGTTAGCATAATTCCGCAGGAGCGAACCCCTCGCAGAGATCAGCCTAGAATTCCAGTCCGTGTGCATTTCGTTGAGGTCACCGGCCAATAGGACCGGGATACCCCCGCTCAGGCACTCGGTCAGATCCTACTCAATCCAGGGCCGCGTGGGCGAGAGGTAAGCCGCCACGAGCTTCAATTTCCTGGTCGACAAAACCAGGTGAAAGTCAGAGGCCTCCATGTGTTGCAAGACCCGAGACTGCTACAGGGTAATGATCTATGACCCTGCGGAAAAGGATCTATTGGGAGAAGCTCTCAGGCCGACAATAGCTATATTCTCTCAAAGTCTAAACACTCTCCGATATCTCTCGCCATATACCTGACTGCCGCCCTCAACTCTCGCCGTGTAAACGTAGCATAATGAGTCACAGAATTCGTTATACGCGCATGCGCGAGATTTCGCGGTGGGTGACGACCGATAATACAATCATTCGTTCCACAACCACTGAACGAACAACAGACGACAGGCTTTCGTGTGTTCTAATGGGTACAGCTTGGAGAGCGTCTGTTAGCAGTGTGAAACTAGGCAAGAGATTCGATAGTTACGATAATTCAAAATCCGTAAATAACTGTAATCATGGGAATAACTGGTATAATTATCGTGCGAGTAATAAATCAATATTTCAGACAAGGAATCCAGCAATTAAATTACACATTATTGTGATCCAGACTCCACACAATTCTCCCACAGCTCGGGTGTCTGTCTAGCTGGGCTGTACGAGGTCTACAGTGGCGAGGTTCCAATTTTCCAGACCCACCATCTTCTTGCTAATCTCCCAAAGTTTTCTGGCCACCTCGGGGTCACGGGATTCACTGGACGATGTCTTTTCACTGCAATTGCTGTATAAAAATTAATTATTGCCATTGAGTTCTTATTTAAACACGTGTGTATTAACATATACGTTAATATCATAAATAATTATATAATCTAACATTATGAAACTAAGAATTAATTTATTTGGTTGTAGTATTAATATTTAAAAATTGTGTTCTTAATTACATAAATTAATTCACCCTCGGTGGTTAGCGTGCACGCCACTAGACCCAAGGTTCGTGGGTTCAAACCCGGCCGAGGTCGGTGGATTTTAAAGGGTGATAAAAATCCTTAGCTCAACTTCCTTCGGAAGTCGGCGGTCCCATGTCGTAGATTTACGAGATGTTTTGTAAGCGAAATTCTGCTACAATTTCTCACCAAGTCTCCTGATTCACTGACAGATGGCTCTGGCAGTCAAATCGGGATTGAGTAGAAATTGTGCAGAGTCAGTGGGCTGGTCACTCACTACTCAAACGCACCTTACAAGACCAATAAGGACATATCGCCTTGAGTAACTATCCCAGAACGGAAAATGATTAGGAAATTAATTCAGCTTATGTACGACACAACGGACAAAAATTTTACAAGACCAAATATAAAAATAAATAAATTCAAACCGAGGTCATCCCTTCCCTAAATTATAACTGTGAAATATAAGTTATATATTTGTCTCCACGTCCAGTACTTGATATATCTACACAACACCAAATTATAGCCAACGTGACTTATGAAAAAAAAAATAGATACTTTCAAAGTAATAACAATTAAGGTAAAGAATTAATTGAAAACGCCATATTGGAAGGACAGACAACTGTTATAAAACATGACGAGATGGATGATTAGCATATTTTAGCGACCATAATGAAAGTTCTTGGACATTCCAGTGTTACAGAATCCATCTTAATTGAGATATATCATGAATGAAATTTATACGTCCTCATAAATAATAATATCCCATCTCATTCGATGCTACACCATTTTCCTGCGTTGTGTAAGAATAATAAATTAGATTGCAGTTCGCTCAAGTTACTTCTGTGAATAAGATAAGCAGGAAAGAGCTCGTTAATAATTATTACTTTAAAAATATTCTTACTCTGTATGCTGACAAATGGCAAAGCCTGAGTAAAATGTGCACAATTTGGTCAATTTCTTTTATGTCAGCTTCTAACACACAGAAAAGAAAAATTAGCAAAGAACGTGTATATTAAACCTCTACAAATTTCCACAAGATAATACTAGCAACGTACGAAAAGCGTAAATGCTCAAGAGATTCTTCATTTACAAATTTGGTACCACTGATGTAGTGTAAGTGTCCCCACCTGTAATAGAGCCCTGTCTTATTTTGCTGATTTTCGTCCACCGAACAATAGATGGAGGTCTGAGCGCCTTCTTCCGGACTCTTGAATAACAACGTAGCAACAAACCGCGTCATCATGCTGAGTCCCACGAAGTAGGCGTCGTCCATGTGTCGCTGTAGGTCCGTATTGACGAGACCGGGATGCACCGCGTATGTTGTAACACCAGTGTCTAAACAGGTTAAGTGTACGAGGGTGTGTAGAAGAGTATGAGAATATTTTCGTTGCGTGTCGTGAGTGTCCAACATCTTCGGCTCAGTTATTCATGCATATAATTGTTCATGTATATTTATTTAGTGTTCTGTCTGACGACAGGTCCATATGAACAGGATCCTTCCATCCTTTTCTCGGACTGGGACCTGTTCATATACGTTCTTGGCAGATGATCCAGAAGTGGTTTGCCATTGCCTTCTTCTGTGTGTGAATGGAGTAATTGTTGGGATGCCACGGAGTAAAACTCCGTGTTGCCTAGACCACGGCCTTGCCCAACACAAGTTATAAATCCGGGCACCGCCGGGAATCGAACCCGAGACCCCAGGATTACAAGGCCAGCGTTCTAACCGCTAGACCACCGTGGCATTGTTCATGTACGTAAACATTATTTGCTTCAAATATCCTTGCAAATTTTTCTGGCGTGTGTTTGCTGAGGGGGGGGGGATACCCTTGTTATAGTTAACCAAAACTTCAGCTATTACGCTGAAAAGAAAACAGTGTTACGTGCACAGATATATACAGGACAGCGTCAAGAGGTGAATGACATAACGCTTTGCAGGAACAGTTACCTCGTCATAATCAGTTCATGCAATAAAATTTGTGCACAGCAGAATTGAGAGTAAACCTCGATTTAACGAATTTCGGTTTTAAGTGTGATATTGTGAATTTCTTTTTCGACGCGAGGTATTTTCAGTTTCAACGGACTATTTTATGGTCTGAGGACGCATTTCTGGCGTCATAAAAACAACTTCGCAACTTCTAAAGGACAATCAACATTACCCGACACTTCTTCGTCCAAACAGTCCCTTAAATCGAGGGTTTACTGCATTAACTAAGACGTCTACCTTGAAGCCTTCTTGCTAGTTCCTTGGTGAACAACAGATTTGCAAGTTTGCTCTGACGGTAAGCCTTCCACGGGGTGTATGACTGTTTCAAGTTTATGTCTTCCAAATACATGGTTCCCCCTATGACAGGAATAACAATCATAAACAACACACCCTGTAGCATTAAGTTGTGTTCTGTTAACAAAACTCTAAAATATTCATTATCTGTGATCACAGCGATAAGATTTGTTTGCATTGTGTAGTATGGTAGAAGTGTCCCGAAGTCTTAGAGGGTCTTGCTGCCTCCATTATCAGGGCTATAACTAAAGGAAGATGCTTGAGAGATAATATTCTATGTTTGTTTTAAGGACTAACCGCGTTACAACCTCTGTTTCAAATCTTTATGTCTTTAAATACCAATGTCATTTTCTAACCTCATTCCACGCCATATATCGATTGTAATCGATTCCGAAGGAACCTTCGATAGAACACAGAATCTGTCTCTTCGTGATCTAACCTTGACCTAAGTACAGAAAGCCAACATGCTGTCATAAAAACACTGGTAGTTGGCAACGCCCACTTCACAGATTCTAAGGATTAGTCGGAGCTGTAGATGATAATCAGAGTTAAGATATGACACATAATAGAATTCATCACATGAGATTTGAGGTTGCCACGGCGTTAATGATGTTGATGTTGGTATTATGGACAGCAATGAAGTTTGTCTTGTTGGCACACAACAACATTTTGAAAGAACACACTACCTCCATCATCAGTACTGAAATATTGGTATCCACGGAGGTCACTGTTAACACTAATGAAAGCCAAATTGGACTTGTTCAATCACTAAATATAGAATGCCATTATGTTCGTGCCCTCAGAAAATATGGATTCCTTGGTGCGGAAACCACAGAATTTTCCGTTTATTTATTAACTAAAATGCACGGTGGTTAACGGAACTAGGATTGCCGAGGGACAGTCATGCTCCAAGTTTAGATACCTGATAAGCAGATAATTAAGAATCCTTGGGGGTTTCTTTTGTTCTACAACCCCCTGTAACCACTTTAACCCTTAAGCGGACACAGTGTGTTTAGAAATTTCTTCCAGTGTTTCCAAACGTAACCGAACAATTCCAAAGTTCGTAATCAAACTCGTAATTACCAGAAAAAGTATGGATTGTGAGGTTATCTGCACTCGCGTGCCGACTGAGTCGCAGACGTCAACCGAGTAATGAGCAGTTACCGACTGGCAGCACGAGACCGAAAGAACAGTATTTCCGGCGCAGTGAGGAAATGAACTATTGCAATCATGTGAAATAAATTCATCTTGTGTTTTAAGCAAATAATTCACTTTGTAATCACCCAATTACATCACAATCTGTTCCTACCTATGACATATAAAAGGATATTAATGAAAAACATCAAGTTGTAAACTCACATTGGTGTGCAACGGACGAAACAGTGACGATCCTGGCGGGGGCTGACCGGATGATACGACTCAGAAGCATACAGGTGAAAAGAAAATGACCCAAGTGGTTGACCCCGATGTGGGTCTCGAACCCATCTTCTGTCTTGCTCTGGGGACACATCATGACCCCTGGAAAACAACAAAACTTATCTAAATATCATTTCAAGGTCATGGTTATCAGTAGCTCATGAATCAGACAATAAATTGTTATAAACTCGTTGTGGCCCTTTCAAGGTCAGACAGAGCGCGGTACCTGCGTTGTTGACTAGCAGATGGATCTTGTCCTCTGTCCTCAGGATTTCCTGTGCACATTTTCGCACGGAGGCGAGGGACCCCAGGTTCAGGGGCACGACCTCCACTGTACCTGCCCCCTCTACATTCTCCGTCTGACTGAGAATATCCTTCGCTACTTCATCGGCCTTCTTGATGTCTCTGCAGGCCATGATAACCCGCGCCCCTGCAAAAACCATCTCACTGTCGCAAATTCTTCCGATTCTTGATATTTTTGGATGCATTGCATCACAATGAGTATCTCTCTGGGTGGCATTAGAAGGGTAGTTACGACAAGCTGATCGAAATGAAAAAATCCTGTACTTCATTTTGTTCAGAGACTTTACAAAATGGCGACTGGGAGCCCGGGAAAGAATGTGCAAATGTACGAGGTGCGATCGGAAAGTTTCAAGACTGCGCATATAAAAACCCGTACACTTATCTCAGGTATTAAATTCATCCATCACCCTCGAAGTAGTTCCCCTGGGAGTGAACACAACGATCCCAGCGCCGCTGCCAAGCCTGGAAGCATCCCTGGAAATCTTTCTTTGCCAGCCTGTCAAGCACCATCTGCGATTCTGCCTGAATCTCTTCTATCGCCTCAAATCTCCTTCCCTTTAGCTGAATGTTCATCATTGGGAAGAGGAAGAAGTCACACGGAGCTAAATCCGGCGAATAAGGAGGGTGCGGGATGACGGCCATAGTGTTTGAGGCCAAAAACTGCCGAACTTTGAGGGCGGTGTGCGCTGGCGCGTTGTCCATCATCGACAGAGGTTCGGTCATTTTTAAAACGTGAATGCCACACAAACGTTTGTGCACGACCCATTGCGGACTCCCCAAATGCTTGCTTTAGCATTTCATAGGTTTCCGTAGCCGTTTTGGCGAGTCTTTGGCAAAATTTGATGCACACGCCATTCCGAAATCGCAGGAGGGTCGGTGTAATGCACTACCAAAACGCCCGTAACTAAGAAACAAATGTTAATTCGATGATGCCGGCTGGTACACTGATTCACTATGAATGTAGGCCGCACCCCCTAGCGGCAGAAGCTCGTACTACATCCGGTTCGCCCTCTATTGACACAGTCTGGAAACATTCCGATCGCACCTTGTATTAATAAGTTAAATAATCAGAAACCTCAATGAAAGCCTCGGACAGACGGACCTAACAGAGGACCGAATGGAAGAGGTGAATTGAGAAGGCCATGGAACGAATACGGACCGGAGAGCCATAGAAGAAGAAGAATAATAATCAGAAATTACATTCTAAGAGAATGAAGTGGTTGGATTGGAAACCTAGAGACAGTTTTAATCGCAAAGAATTTATAAAAACCTGAATGGCTGTGGTTAAGATTTGCCACCAGCCTGTTCTCCAATGTCATTCATGTCTTCTTATAAATGAATGTTAGGTTAGGTTACATTCGTAGAGAAACACGCGATGTAAGTAGGACACGACAGACACGCTAGCCTTGACTCTACAATCAGTGAGTTACACAACAGCGATTTGCGAACTTTCCCATGTGAAAAAAATATTATTTCGTGGAGAGAAGACTTGGGTCTTCTTTTTTGCACAACCTTGACTAAAGTTGAGGTTTAAAAATGACGCGGCTCGTACAGAAAATTATCGTAGTTACTAAGTACAATGACGTTGGAATAAATCAAAAGATATCGGGAACTTTTCTTATCATAAGAACGGATTTACATTAACTGTCTTGCCTTTCCAGTCCTCCTCTGTAAATAAAAACATTTTCCATTATGCATCCTACTTATACAACGGGATTCAGGAACTTAATTATATAATTTAATAGTGTGTCCTCGAATTTAAGAAGCACATTTATCCACGTTAAAACATTCTTGAAATCGTGGTGCATCCTAACATTTCACGACGTCTAAGAATAAACGTTGCATTGCATGACTAAAAGGCAAGAAAAGTCTTTCCAGTAATTAAATAGTAATCTCAAAGTTAGCAACAAAGGAGATTTCGAAAATATTAATACAAGTACAATGTATGAAGATTTCTGTCTTCTGGGTTATTGCGCTGTGTAGTCTGGTCGATGTTAACCAACGTTTCAGAGGTCATACTGCCTCCATCATCAGGGCGATGACCTCCGAAACGTTGGTAAACATCGACCAGACTAAACAGTGCAACAACCCAGAAGACAGAAATCTTCATACTCTGATGACGGAGGCAGTATGACCTCTGAAACATTGGTTAACATCGACCAGACTACACAGCGCAACAACCCAGAAGACAGAAAACTTCATACTCTGATGACGGAGGCAGTATGACCTCTGAAACGTTGGTTAA